CGAGGTCTTCACAGACCATAGCTCCGTGATGGTCACCCTTGATGTAGCTGAATCCCCAGCACACGTTTTGACTTGGCCACGACCTAGAGAAATCCAATGGGACACAGTTGATGTTTCAGCCTGGCATGAACACTGCAATGGTCATGACTTTGAACCTGCGGATGATTCCACAGTTTTCATGACACAGTTTTCTCAGCACTTTGAGGACTCCTTGACAGGCTACATTGGCCCCAATGGAGCAGCTCTGCATCCCACCCAACGAGGCCGAGCAAAACGGCTCAAACCTGAGAAACGTTCCTTGCAGCCAACAACATGCAAGGCTAGCCGCCAAGGTGAAGTGACTCTGGAACATGATTTGGTTGGAACCGCAGTTCTTCAGTGGTTTCGACAGTTGAGAAGGATCCAGTCTTATAACCATGCCATTAAGTCTGGAAAGTTACACACTGAAGCAGTTCTCTACAGGACAGAACTGTGGACCTCTATTATGCGGGCACGTGGTTTCCAACCAAATTTTGTCAGTTGGTGGGATGAGCAAGAGTTTTTTCATGCAGTTGGCCCTTTGCCAGCACAACCTCCCAATGTGGAACAGACCTCCTTGATCTTTGAGGCTTTTCATCATGCATTTCGTGCGTTTGAGAGATGGCATCTCCAACAAAAGAATCGAGCGATCCAATTGAAGTATGACAAGACTTGCGCTGCTCTTTTCAAAGACTTGAGAAACCCAACACCAGATCAGATTGACTGCCTTTGGAGTTCCAAAAGCTACACCATCATCGCTGTTCGACCTGGGTCCCAAGCCGTTTTGTTAGATGCAGCCGTAATCCCAAAAGCTGGGGCAGTTTGGTATCACAACGGTTGTGGGCTTTCTGTTGATGGATACCAGGAAGAACTACTTGTCTTCCACAAATGGCCAGACTTGCAAGTTGGAGATGTCATAGTTCAACACACGCACACAAGTTCAGATGCAGAAGTTCATGAGCAGCTGATAGATCTTTGGAAGCCGAGGTGGCAACAACTGCATGAGATCAACCCAGATCATTGGACACGTGTCACCAACTTCATCCAGAGCTACATGCCAAGTTTTGAATTCGTTTTGCCAGACATTACCCCGGCACAATGGATGCGCACAGTCAAACGTTTTAAACCGTCAGCTGCACGAGGAGCCGATGGTTTTGCCAAGCAGGATCTTTTGAACATGTCACCTGCTCACATTTCTTGGTTGCTTCAATTTTTGTCCAGAGTTGAACTGGAGGATTCAGATTGGCCCCAACAACTTCAACAAGGAATTGTCCTTGCCATAGCCAAGCATGGTGACGCGCATGAAGCTGGGGCGTATCGCCCTATTGTGCTCTTCAGCATCATTTACCGCTGCTGGGGCTCACTGCGCTCACGGCAGCTGTTGAAGTTGATTGAAGGGCATATCCATTCAGATGCTTTTGGATTTTTGCCAGGGAGGGAAGCCATGCAGTCCTGGTTACAAGTACAAGCCAGTGTTGAGCTAGCACTTGTTTCTGGCCAGGCGCTGTCAGGCCTAGCAGTTGATTTGGTGAAGGCCTTTAACAACATACGCAGGCCCCAGTGGTTCACCTTAGCAAGACACCTCGGCCTACCTGAGCGAATACTGCAACCATGGCACAAATTTCTGGCCTCCTTCACAAGGCGCTTCCAAGTGCACAATCACTTGAGCAAACCACTGACATCAGACATTGGATTTGCGGAGGGGGACCCTTTGAGCGTCCCTGCTATGGCAGTTTTGGATTGGGCTTTACATGTCTATCAATCCCAATATGCCCCAATGACGCGCACTATGTCATTTGTGGACAACATTTCCATGATGTCACGCTTTGTGATGAACCTGGTTTGGGCTTTTTTCTCATTGCGATCATTTTTGGATCTGTGGGGCTTGGAAATTGATATCCACAAATCCTATACCTGGAGTACTTTGCCGCAGACGCGAGCAGAATTGGCACCTCTGGGGATTCAAGTTGTTGAGGACATCTCAGAGTTGGGGGGATCCTTAACCTTCTACTCTGCAGCCAGAGTGCGAGTTTTCCTTGAGCGTGGAGTACGGCTTGAGAAGAAGTGGGCACGTTTGCGCATTTCCAAGGCGCCCCTGGCGCAGAAGTTACTTAGCCTTCCAATGGTTTTCTGGGCTTCAGCTCTCCATGGAGCACTTGGATGCATTTTTGCTGACAGCCACTTGCATCAGCTTCGGAAGAAAGCCATTGCAGCTTTGGGCTTGCGCATTGGTGGAGCTAACCCCATGTTGCGTTTATCCCTTTCACAACCATCAACTGCAGACCCAGGGTATTACCACCTACGGCATTGCATTTTTGACTTTCGGAGGGTTTGCCACAAGACTCCAGACCTCCTTGTCATGTGGCAACACTTCATGGCCAACTTCACCGGACGTAAGCTGCCAGGACCTTTCTATAAGATTGTGGAGCTCTTTAGTCAAGTTGGTTGGTCCATCCGTGTACCACCCATTTTTACTGACCATGATGGCTTTACACACAATCTTTTCCAGATTTCCAACAATGGTCTTGAGGCATTGCTGCAAGACGCCTGGTACCAGTACTTGGCCACGCAGGTGCAACACCGGAAGACAATGCATGACCTTAAAGGTTTACATGCTGAACTGACTTTGTTGGATCGAGCGTGTATGACACCCCTGGAACTTGGACGGACAATGGCACTTCAGTCAGGTGCTTTTCTTTCAGACTGGAACCATGCAAAGTATGACCCGACCAAGCCAGCAATATGTGCGAGATGTTTGGTGCCCAATACCCAACGACACTGGTTTCAATGCCCTGAGTATGAGCATATCAAGCAGGAGATGGCAGAAGACTTCCTGTGGACACAAGATGTACCAGACTGCTTACTTCATCACCTCCTGGTGCCTCGAGGCCGGCATGAGGCTGAGATGAAGGCGTACCTCATGGGCATTGAAGATCGAACTGGCTGTTTTCACTCCAAGCCAGGACCAGGGTTGCAAAATTTGTTTTCTGATGGTTCTTTTTGTCCCTCTCAACCTAGAGTTTTTGGGGTTGGGGCTTGGTCATTAGTCAATGCCACCACGGGTGAAGCCGTTGGAGCTGGCCTACTTCATGGCATAGTTCAATCCATCACACGTGCAGAGCTTTGCGGAGCGCTGGCTGCAATTCGATGGACTGCATTCCATCAAGTACCAGTTTGCCTTTGGAGTGACTCAAAATCCACGGTAGACGGGCTGCTCGCCATCCTGGGGGGCATTTGGCATCCTGAAGAGACCATTTGTGAAAACCATGATCTTTGGCACCAGATCAGCGTACTGCTTGCGGACATGCCGGCAGATCTCTTCTCAGTTCAGTGGACGCCATCCCATTTGGACTTGGTTAGGTGTACATCTACTTGCGAGGAATGGCAAGCCACATGGAATGACATTGCCGACCAACTTGCAGTGACCACCAATGCGGCTCGTTCAGCTGAATTTTGGACATTGAAGCAACATGCATGTCAGCACTTTTGTTTCTGGTCCGGAAAACTTCGGCAACTCAGAGCCTTCTACTGCAGAATTGCCGATCAGAAGAAGAAGACCGAGGAGATCATTGACTTGACCCTCAGTGAGACGTTTGATTGGCCTAACTTAGGCATAGACTTAGCACTTTCAGATGTCTTCCCAATCAATTGGAAAACACAGTTGAGCTCACCAGATGTACAGATGAAGCAACCAATTGAATTCGTTTTTCAGGTTTTTGACCTTTTGTTTAGTTTGGAGTCCAGCTCTGATTTCATGGCACCACTCAGTTTTGTAGAGTTTACACTTTGGTGCATCCAGGAGCGGCAGATGGCTTTCCCTTTTTGGAATCCAAGCACTTTCAAGTGGGATTTTAGGAGCTATGGTTCTTTGTTGTTGCGGCCTACGTTGGCTTCTATGGTTCAGATCATTCGGGATGTTTTCAGTCAAAGTCTTCGGATTCTGGGATTTGATCACTACCTTCTTAAAGGTATCCGTAAGCCAGAGGCAGGTATAGTGTTGCCAGTAGACGGCTTGGCAATATGTACAAATTCAGCTGTCTTGAGCAACATTGTCACTGGCTGTGCTGCGGCAGCCGGTCAGCAGAAATTTCGGAAAGCTGCTGACTTGGCTCGTCCTTTGTGACCCTGACAGACCCTGGCTGCGACTGCACTGCTGCTTGCGGCCGTGCATTGCAGCCGCATCAAACCGTCAGTGATATGATAGTGAGTTCATAATCTATGGAATTGTTATGATAGTGAGTTTGTAATAATTATCATTAGGAAGTTCACGATCAAAAAGAGTCATGTGCATGACGATTTAACCATCAAAAACAAGAAGACAAGCAACTCAAAAATGGGATTTAACATGATTTAACCATTCAAACTTCACAATCTTCACACAGATCTCGCCAATTTTGCCCAGATGAATGTCACCATCCTTCGCTGTAACCATATAATACGTGGCTATTTTGGGGAACGTTACCCCTACTAACCATATTTAAAAAAAAACAGTACCATGGTGTTTCGTCAACAGTTCATCGATCCGAAAAAGGGGTTTTTGTTGAAGTCAGACAGGAATCAAGATGGGCGCTCCAACTGCGCTAAAGGAGATGTTTTTGGGAAAATGTCGGGTCCGGGTCCAAGACGTGGCAGGGTGAAAAACACGAAAAATGGATTCTTCTGGAGTCATCGGATCTGTAAAAACTGGAAGCTTCCGGGAAGTCCTGCTTAGTCCTGCTTGAAAATGACATCAATGACATTGCAAGGCCTGAGCAAAGGTAGGACGATGAGCAAGGTAAGTACCTGGAGTCAGCAGACTTTGGATCAGCACTGGGAGGTGCAGTGGATGTTACAAATCTCGATCATGGCGATCAACCTGGTATGTTAACCCCCATAAGTTGGGAAATATTATATGTAAATATACATATAACATCATATAACCCCTGCTATCTATAACTATGGTTATATTATGTTATATTATGTTATATTGAGATCCACTTACAACTGAACTGCACTTCCAAGTTTGATGTCAAGACATGGTGCAACGTCCGCAATTTGGCTATTTGCCGATTCTTTTTCACACTCGTTTGCTGCAGAGTGGGCAGGTTCTACTTTGCTGTGTGAGCCAGCGGTCTACACAGTCACAATGGAATCTGTGTCCGCAGGGCAGCACTCGCAAGTCCTCACCATTGGTGTAGTTGGACAAGCACACTGCACAACTGATCCCAGAGTCACCTCCCCGAGCCTTGAGAACTGCTTGGACCAGTTCAGCCTTTTCGACTCCAAGGCCCGATTTAATGAGCTGCTGCATCTCCCGAGTCTCACTGCCACCAGCAAAGCCCATTCGCATCTCGGCCTGCCGCTGCAGTCGTTTCAATTCATCCTTCAGGCTTGAGACACTCCATTTCTGAAGTTGCTCCTCGGCCACAAAGGTTTCTCTTTGAAGCTTCCGAATCTCCTCAGTGCTCACCCGTTCGCGTCCTCCCTGTCTTTGGTTCTGCCCTAGCTCCTGCATCCACTCCTCCATCCAATTGGTCCATCGGAAGATGAGGTTTTCGACCCGTCGCACGGCCGGCCGCTGTCGCAAATGGGGCCTGCAACGAAACAGGAGCAGCACAGCCATAAAAAGCAGCACCACGACCAGTGTCACCACACAAACGTAGCTCAAAAGGGTATTCCAGAAGCTGTTTTGCACCTGAACTCGCCGTCGTCGGCGATGCCGACGCTCAGAGTTCCGACGCTCACGTGACTCACGAGCGTAAAAACTGCTCATGCTCTCGTCCTCGAAGAAACCCATGCCGCCCATGCTGCCCATGTCTGGGCTCATGCTCTCGTCAATGCTATCGTAAGACAGGCGTTGCAGCAGCATGGACAAGAAGAAGACCATGAATGAAAAGGCCAAGGCCCTTGGACCACCACCTATGTACACGAAAAAGACCATGATGACCGGTGGCCGTGGCCGAGTGGTCCCGAAGCCGCAGAAGCCGCCCCCTTGAATTTGACTCGAGCCAAACCCATAGAGTTGGTTAGGAACGCTTCACGTGGCCTTGTACAGGAATCGGACCTCCAACAAAAACCAAAAATGTTTTTCAAAACTCTTGGACTTCCCATCATTTGATGATCTTCCCCATCATTTCAAGATGATTTCAACATGTTTACCTCACGTTCCCGCAAAAAAAACACCATCATTTGCCACTTCAAAGTGGTGCCCCACATTCTCCGCGACGCGCCCTTTGAGTTTTTCCAACCCGAAACGAGCCGAACCGCGCTTTCGGGCCGTCCAACAACCCAACGCTTCAGTGCACGGGACCGGATCACCCCTTCGGCATGGCAAGACCTTTTTGTGATTTGAACATATGCAAGAACCATCCCTTTTGGATCCATCAAATAACCATGAATTTCATGGGGAATGGGATCAAATGGCCATGAAATTCATGGGGAAGACGATGATTTACCCATTGATTTAAGGATATTTAAGGCTATTTAAGGTGTTTCCAGATCATTTTCAGGCACCAAAGCCATGAATAATGGCGGATCATTTTTTTGTCGCCACATCATACCTGCCATGTTCATCCCATATTTCTGCAGATCTGGCAGCACCCAACGACATGCCCTTGTTAAACGGGGCTCTGAGTCCTGGATGTGCTTCCCGACTTTTTTGTGAATATCGACCCATCACCAACAACAAGTTGAGTGCGTTGTGAACTGCAAAGCCTACACATCTTGGCCGAAAATCTGATGCAGCAATCCCCCAATAAGGGCGCAATCATCGCCAAAAAAAAGATGTGATTAATTAGTCAGATTGTGAGTTCCACATCCCATGATATTTTCACAAAAAAAACTGTGCGTTCTATGAAAACTCCCCATTTTCAGCGTTGCATTGAACCTTTGAGAAGACACCGACACCGATCCGAGTCATCGAACGTTGCGCCGCCTCATCCGCTCAGCGGATGCTGAAAAGGTCACGTCGCCAAACCACGAAGCTTCTGCGCAGATTGAATTTGGGATGCCTCTCTCGCTGCCATCCAAACTCGAGGGGTTCTCGGGCTTCTCCCAGATGTACTATGAAAAATGGCTTGTGGGCGAGAAAGCCCACCATGAAATTGGGAATCCCGCATTTTTTTTTGAAGCCCTTTCATGAGGAGATGACTATCCCCTTTTATGAGGAAAAAGAAGCCATCTTTGGACCATGACACATATGTAAATGGCTAAAATAGACATTATAAAGCTATGAAAAAGTCAGTGAAATGATTTTCCAGAAGTCCCCCATTGGATGCACAGGAAATGCACCCTGCTTTGAAAAATGCATCGCGTACGCCTGTCATGTGAAACTCTCGGGTTCTGACACCGCTCCGCTTTTGCGGAGGCAGAGGCCAGCCCAGCTGGAAACCAACCAACATGAATTCATGAACCTCTGCATGTTTAAAATTGGAATGTATTCTTCTGTAGATTCACAAGCAATGAGCCCGGGATAGCCAAACTTTATCGAGTCGAGTTGGCATGGTGAGGGCATGGTTTCTGGGGTATGGGAATGGCTCATTCACCTTGGGCTTTGGAAGCTCATCTATTTCAGGGATTTTTGATCGCCCCTGGGCCGTTGACAACAACGAAACATGTCCAGCACACCACCTCCAGAGGTGTTGCTGGCGGCTCGGAAGACTGCTACTGTGCTCCGGCCGCACGAGTTCACCAACCTGGAGACAAAGACCCCAAATCTGGTTTTGCGTCCTTTCGTCGTGGACAAAAAAACCTCAGAGTACTGACCAAAAAATCGGTACCCTCTGGTCATCAAATATGGTAAGCCGGAAAATCCACCATATAGTTCGATGAGTTTGCCAGCTATAAACAGCATTTATAGAGGATGTTCCGCCACGTTTACCGGAGGCTACTTGCAACCAAGATGCTCAACAGAAGCAATTCAAGCGACCCCACCTTGGCACGCCCAATTTAGTAGGTTTGATGATTGACCAATGATCTTGGTGATTTTCCACAGCAACCTGTTAGAAAAAACAGGGCAACTGACATATCTCCCATAGCCCCGATGTCACCAATCAAGACCCCATAGGGGACAGCTGTTTTTAGGTGTCCTATAGGTGTCCCAGGTGTCCCAGGTGTCCCAGGTGTCCCAGGTGTCCCAGGTGTCGGTGCTTGAATGTCATTGTCGTCATCTCCGCCGACACCTGGCACTCCAAGCGTGCGTAGGCGCGTGGGCCCCGGGAAGATGCAAATGGTGACTCACTGGATTGGTTTTTTCGGGAAAATCTTAACCGGAAACCCATGGGTTTTTACCATCAAATTGATCGGGCTGTCCGGTTAAAATTTTCCCATCATCCAATTCTATGAATAAAAGTAGATTCATGGGGATAATATGGATTAATAGTGATTGATAATGAAGAAAATAGGGACAATGGATAATTAAGAGTGATTAATAATGATTAATAGTGATTAATGTTTTTTCCTGAATCTGTTCAGGGGTTAGTCTATATTAGGTGCAGATGTTTCGTGTTGTCTGTCTATCCATCCATCCATCCATCCATCCACCCATCCATCTATCTATCTTCCTATCTTGTCTTGTCTTATCTTATCTTATCCTATCGTATTTATTAATCTGATCCTATCTAATCTACTCTAATCTACTCCAATCTAATCTGATCTATCTAATCTAATCTGATCTATCTAATCTGATCCAATCTGATCTAATCTCGTCTAATCTGATCTAGTCTAGTCCAATCCTTCTACTTTATCTATCTATATTTCTGTCTGTCTGTCTGTCTGTCTGGCTGTCTGTCTGTTATATCTTTGTATTTATCTATCCATTTATTCATTCATACATGACATGTTTAATCATGTGTGTAACAGCTGTAATGTTCGTTTTTGCTGTAAGGGCCCGTGAGATTTCTGCAAACTGCGCCAGCAGAACGATCAAAAAGATCAAAGCCCCGGCCAGCGGGTTCGTTGATATCACCTAGGTCGCCAGAGGTCGCCAGAGGTCGCCAGAGGTCGCCAAGGGATCACGATGGGACCCTGAAAACAGCTAAAACCATCCCCTGAGTGTTCCTCTCTTTGACATGTGAAAATTACCGCAAAAAAGGGTGACTGGGATGGTGTTGGAATTGAAGAGACTACAAGTTTTTTGGCAGCTACATCCACAGAATTGTGGCTTCCATCCAAAATAGATGCCTGAAAGCAAGAGCTGCAGGGTTTATCGGATGGAAGTTCACTTGCCCCGACCGAAGAAAGATCACTTGCGCCGACCAGGTGAGGTTTTTAGCTAATAATCCACTACCTTTGGGGTTTGCCTTCGGGACATTAGGTCCCCCAGGTGGGTTCTGCCGTCGATAAAGTCACAGCCTTCAGGGTTTGACTTGGGGACAAGGGGACAGGTGACCACATGCTAGTGCATGACAATTGCTTCTAGCCGCTCTAGCCTTCTAGCTGCTTCTTCACTTGCTAGCCAAAAAATCCATGCCAACGCAGGCACACGCGGTCTTGTTCCGCAGGGATGAGGGAGGAGCCAGCTGAGTTTACCCAGGTATTTGATGGTCCAGCCATGGTGACTGCTGAACTCAAGAAGGACTGGTGCCACTGATGGCATCGGCATGACCATTTTATAATGTACCAATGGGCCTACAGTTGACTGGACATTTCTAATTCCTTTCCCTACTAAATACCTCTTAGAAACCATTGTCTAGTAGGAGATTACACATATTTGGGACGGGGCTCTTTATAAAACTCGGCCACATGGCTCGTTTTTTTTTGCATGAAGACCCAACGGGCGCTTCCGCACATTTCCCCAGGCTCCCCAACAAAACGAGAGACAAACCAAAGGAATGTCATCAACGTAAAGGGGATCAACCTCAGTGTGGCTTTCGGTATGGGAGAAGCCGGAAAAAGTTCACATTGAATGACATTGATCACTGGAAAATCGCCCAGTTGAAGAGTTGCCCATGAAAAATGGGGAGAAATGATACCCTTCTTGTGGACAAACCGGCCAGAGAGTAATAGATCTTACCACCATGGGCCCCTGTGTGTCGTAGCTTGGTTTTCTGACAATATGTTTTTTGGTAAATGGCTATCGAGAACCAGAGTTGAGTATATCCCAAGTTATTGCAAAATCAAATTGGAAAAGCATGTCATTAAATTGGAAAAGGATTTCTGATTCCGACCTCTTCGCATTATTGTGAGGTACCAAACCCAAATGGCTATGGAATCTATGGACAATGTCATCCTGAAAATCCTCTGGTTGTCAGATTCAAATGGGTTCGTCTGAAAATGATGGGAAAACTACCCAAAAATTAAAGGTTTATGTAAAACCGCATTCCCCCATCATTTCTTGGCTATTTTGGGGGTAAGTCCCCCATTCACCCCAACTAGCTGGGGCCATGCACCATGCGCAAAGAGAGGTCCAAATTTCAGGCAAGGCACGTGAGCAAGGCTGCTGAGGCGGAGACCTCGGCTTTTTTTTTCTGAGAAGATGACTTTGGGAACGGAAAATTATAAGGGACATCACTGTTTAAGGGATGATGTAAAATGTGTCAAATGACTCAAATGACCCACAAATGGTTAGTAACCATGGATGTGAAAATGGAATGGTTTATCATAGGCGAAATCAACAAGTCAAAACCGGGGAAGCCCCGTAGACCCAGCTCGGTCTCAAAGGTCTCAAAGGTCTGCTGCAAGTGGCGAGCAAATCACAGAGGCCGCTGTCGCGCTTTCGTTGAAGCAAATTGGTAACCTTGGACGCCGACGTTCAAAACAAGTCAAATCATGTGGGTAAAACAATCATAAACCATCCCCCAGTCATCACCATTTTTATAGGTGCTATGTGTAAACCATTCCCAGGAAAATGGGTGGGATTGTTGGCATTGTTTTACCCACTTCTGAATGCTGTGAATTTGGGGTGGGAAAAAAGGGGGCCCAACCAGAATTTGTCACCACAATTTTCACCATTTCGCCATTCTTCAGCCCCCAAGATCGGGAAATTCACCAACTCCGGCTGCTCAGTGCACTCAGCTGACTCAGCCTGCGGCCCAGATCACAAAGGCGACCACCAAAGGACTGGCCTGAAAGGTGACAATGACGGAAGGAGGGTGACTGGGTTTATCCATGTTTAATGGGATATTAATGAGATATTTATTAATAATGGAATATATTAAAATTCACAATCTGAAAATGGGATGGTGTACGTGGCTTGCTGGCAAAATCATCATTGAGTGCGTTGATTTTCCCAGCTAGAAACCTTCGGTTTAGTTCAGCGATGTTCAGTTGCTATATTTGATCGCAACTAAGGGCACAAAATGTGGTAATTTTTCTAGATGTAGCTATCAAATATGGTGCTTTTCACTTCGCAAACACGTCAGCATCACCACTTCGCAACATGTCAACATCTCTACTGTGTTAGGGGGCTACCCATCTTTCACTAACCACACAGGCTGCATTCCTGGAGAAAATCATGTTCGCCGCCATTGAGTCATGACCATCGAAATTGGAAATCCCATGGGAAATCCTCCATTTGTTTTGACAAACCTCTATCATGTTGGTTGCAAAATCCCTTCCTGTATCCCTTTCACATCCAAATCTTATAGATTTATTAGATTTATGGTTGGTGTCCTCCATTTTGATCACTCAAATGCCCAAGATAGATACACCAAAAAATATCAAAAAATAGCGTTGCTTCCACATCCCACGATGCCGCGGAAAATCCCCTTGGCATCTTTGGCTTTATCATTACTCCATTCTCCAAGTTTGTGTGGTAAGTATTATCCCGTTTTCCCAGTCGGAAAAAAGCCATGAATTGAAAAAACATGATACAAATGATACCTAGCCCCACCAAGGGTGGGCAGTGATCGTTGTAATCGGAAAACGACTTACCAAACGACGTGACCCGCGACCCATGGAGAATCCATCCATGGGTCACCAGCTACCAAGCGGCGCAGAGCCACATCGCCAAGGCCTCGATGATCAGAGCAGAAACCGACCACCTCAGCTGGAAAATGCTGGGAACTTTCAGCTGGATTTTTGGAGTGCCTGGTGCCTAGGCAGTGGGACTTATTGGGACTTCTTCCCGAAATCTGGGGTAAAAACATGTAAAAACTAAAAACCAGTTATTTATGGGGAGGTTTAACAACTTTGGGTCCCCTATGGAAAATGGAAGTTTTGTTCCCAAAGTTCGATCGAACTATTGCTGAGCTTCAACTTTTGGTGAGAATTTCACCGTGGAAATATCATGAAATATCACCAACCAAAGGAATCCATGGCATCTGGGGAGTTTTTAAAGTCATATTTATGATAAAAATCTAAAAGATTCTAAAAGCCTGAAGTAACTGAAGTAACTGAAGTAACTGAAGCAACTGAATAACTGAAGTAACTGAAGTAAGTCCTTTTTGCCAAAGTTCCGTTGACCATTATTTATGGGGCTTGGCAGATGTCAGAGCTGTCATGGGGTCATGGGGTCATGGCTGGGTGGGCACAAACGACCGCCGGCCAACACGGAGGTTTTCCCCGGCCGATGTTCATTTTACCTCAAGATATGTCGGCTAAAAACTTCAAGATATTTTGATGGTTAATAGCAATATTACCTTAATTTCAAGATATGCTCTTGAGCATTTTGACAAAATCATGCTTCTCCAGCGCGATTTGGCACACTATGTGTTTGCCTGCTTTTGTCTTCTCCTTCAGGTAAAAACACATGTGGTCGGGTGATGCCAGGAGCCAGGTTCTGGGGGTATTTATGCCAGTGGTTGGATGGTGAACTTCAGAAAAGTCGTGTTTTTTGTTATAGAAGTTCACAATAACACTATGGTAAAAGTAGTGTTTATCTATGGTCAAATTTCTGGATGGTTTACTATACCATCTTTTTTATGCCAGGTTTTTTTGTAAACCATCCACAAATTTGACCATGGTATAAACGATCAAAATCTGGCTGGTTTATCATTGCTGGCTTTACCCGGCTTTACCGGTGGCCGGGCCGCGGCACGGTGCTCCCGGTGCTCCCGGTGCTCCCGGGACCCGGGCTTATCTTGCGTCGGGATCGCCTCCGCAATCAGGTCCATGTATGCCTCAGGCGATCGGCCTGAAGGAATTCCACAGGGAGTTCTGGAGGGATTTCTGGTTGTTGGGGAACCCATAACCTAACAACATCACCCAACACCATCCATAACCATCCACAACCATGTCATATCATGTCATGTTTTCCGCAGGACCCAAATGTGTCACCAATGAACATTAACTTTTGATCATTTTGGCTGATAAAAATGAGGATGATGTAGCTATTAAAAATGCTTTCCAGTTCGCTATGTTGTCATAACCAGAGGGTACCCATTAATTTTGGCACCCCCCATGAGCTGGCCAAGTTGCCCAAAAAACGGGAAGTTGCGAGCCAACCACCCAGCGGTAGGGCCTTGCGACTGTTTTTGGCGAAAGGGATGACTGGATGAGTACCGCAACAAAGAGTACGGGTATGATATGGGTATGATATGGGTACTATATGGATATTTTATGGATATTTTTTGGATATTATATGGATGTTTTCTGGATATTATATGGCATTATTGATGAATAATTACTCGTGATAACTTGGAAAGAATAGATAGAAACCCAAAAGATAACTTCCTATATTTTTCTGAATTACCATTCGTTCTATATATCTATATCAACTTGGAAATTTTGGGGAAAAATGCATCATCACAGACTTGTTTCAAGCTGTTCGATCTATTTTTGGGGACCCCGTTGTGCTTCATGATATCACCAGAAAGGGCGGAGATGATCTTGATTATCAGATTTTTGGGCATCTTTACAAACACAAGTGGGAAATAGACCAGCAATTATGCGGATTTGGATCATCTTCAACTACAAAATTGCCTGTGTTGACTGCCAAGAATTGTTCCATGAGCCTCCTGGAAATGCTGTATTCTAAGATCTTCAAGTATGACTTTGATACTGCGATACCCATAAAATTGGACAGTTGAATCAGCTTCAACACACCAGCGGTACAACACTAACCGCCAAGAATCCCTGGAAAAAACTGGGCAGCTCGGCAATCCGAAGTGGCCCAAGGATCGCCAGAAATAGCCTGCCAACCTGGGTTGAAGATCCATTGACTTCGTTTGGGTGGTTGCTTTATTTATTTTGTCTGGTTTGTCTGGTTGGCCGTTTCACTGACTTTGGTTGCTGTTGGTTGGTTGGTTGTCTTATTTTCAGAGTAAATCTTCCAAGCCGAAGTAGAAACTGGGATTCCGCGATTCCTATGTTGCAAGCTGCTGCGAGCACTCTTCCGTTCTGAGGATTCCGAGCTCTGCTTGTACGAAGCTGTCAAAGTCAGTGAGGCTTCCAAACCACGTCATCTGAAGAACGCACTCATGGAATCAAAACACGACTCTGAAGGAGCAACAGGGGAAGCTGGAGACCCTAGAGACCCTGGGGACCCTGGGAATAGTCAGTTAAACATAGTTAAACTATGGATATTTTACTGGGGACCAGTATATTTTCCCTGAGGTGAAACTATTCCCAGGGTTTTCAGTAATAGTGATTATCCACTAAAAATCTGCAGGGTTTCACTGAGTCATCGATGGAGAATTCTCACTGAGCTGTCCACGATGCACGCCTGAATCACCTCCCGGTCCTCAATGGCACGACTGGACTGGGCCAGACTTAAATAGAATCAAATAAGATACGTATACAATGTCTACAAGCGGAAATGGCAGTGGGATCTACTTCCAATTGATCTGCTTTCTACTCTCAGTGATTTATCATCCAGGCTTGCCCTGTGGCAAACAGCCACATAACGAACTGGAGAAATCACCATGTTTTATGGGTAAATCAACTATTTCTATGGCCATCTTGAATAGCTTTTTGTATGTTTACCAGAGGGTATGACTGAGACGTTGGGCTCCAGGCGCAAGCGATTTTTTCACCGGTCTCTGGAAGACGATGGTTCACCTCGTCAGTGATGATGTTGGGATACACAAGAGCTCCACTCTCAAGATCTCACATGGAATCTGTAAATATCGAGATATCTCATGATATCTCATGATATCTCATGATATCTCATGATATCTCATGATATCTCTTATTTTCAGAAAGCTCCAAAGGCTCCAGCTCCAATGCCATTGTTTTCTTGGCCATTTGCAGGGCTCCAGGAAATCACCCTTAAAAAGTGTCGGCTGGGACATCCAGACGCTGCAGCAATAGCAACTCGCCTTCTTGGCCTGAAACCTGCCGTTCGCAGATCGGATGGTCAGCTGGAAGATCCAGTTTCTGCAGAGTTCACCCTCTGGTTTTTCCAGCCACATCACGAACTGGAGAAATCACCACGTTATAGCTGTGTAAATCCACGACATTTCGACTGGGCCATCTTCAATAGCTATCTATGTATGTTTATCAGAGGCTACCAAGAAAATGGGGAAGTTTCCTGATCAAACTGTCGGGGGTTCATTTGCAGGGTCTTACATCACCCTTAAATTTTGCAGATTCAAGATTTCTGAGTCAGAAGCATAGAAAACCCAAACCTCATCCAAAAAAAAACACACCAGTCGCTAAATCCTTGCGATCTGATTGAAGTTCCGATGAAATCCTCATGTCTCGGTGATTTGCCCGCTGTGTTCAGCTGTGAAGAGCCGGCTCTGAGCCGCCAGCTCCGACAGGTGTTCACGAAGAATGGTCATATCGCGATGAAACGACCTGTACCCAGCGGTTTGTCGGCGGGTTTCGAAACACGGAGATCTGACGGAGATCTGATCCCTCAGAGAGCATCGGAAAAACGACACGAGGGTCGGTGCAATTTTTTTAGCAAAACGTCTGGCACAACACCTTGCCAAGTTCCCTTAAAATCCCCAATTTGTTTATGTCTATTATGTCTATTCCTCCCAGAAACGGTGCCTCAGGAAATGAGCTCCAAGTATGGTAATGAAAGATTGGATCGCCGGCCAAAAGGTGAGGCTCAAGGCCAGGTCCCTCAGTGGACCGAGTCCGGTATTGGCTACTCGAATGGGATATGAGTGACATTGCTTATGCAAAAAAAAGGAATGGGAGAGGTATGAGCTATGGCAGCTATGGAAAGAAATACAGTATCCAATCTGAACACTTCTGCCTTGTGAAAAAAGCGCCCAAAAAGCAACAGCCCCCTTTTTCCCAGCCAAACAAAACATGTGGTTACCGTCATCAAACGACCCATTTGACCCTCTCGGCCCCAAGCTTTGGAAAGAAGCAAATCAACGCCCAGTTGATGAGGGATGCCCTGAGAGCGAAGAGTTCCAAGTTGGCCCAAAAAAAAAATGGCCTGGAAAGTTCAAAGGGAAGCTGAAGCTGCATTTCTTTCCTCATCTTGTTTCATCCAAGTTGGCCCTCCTTTGAGGCTCCGACATCATGAGGCCAAAGTATACCTCACCGGTTGCGGCAAGGCTGAAAAAGCATCATTGATCTGTCAGCACACTTTCCGTGAGATGAGTGAGATGCAAGCGAAACAGAGGTCCAATCTGTTGAAGTTCATGGAATACCCTTTACATCTTGGCGGAGTATTCTACAGAGGACACCGTCCGCGGACCTAAAAATCAGGCCGCCACAGGGGCAAAAATCACCGGACGAATCTCAACTCGGTTCTTGAGATCGTTCCTGGAGGATCCCGGCCAGACCACCAGTGGTCGTCATCCAACTTGCCAAAAAATCACCCGGACGCCATGATATATACATATATATACATATATATATATATAATTGGTGGTTTTAACCATCTTGAAAAATATGAGTTCGTCAATGGGAAGGATTATCCCATATATGAAATGGAAAATTAAATTCATGTTCCAAACCACCAACCAGATATATATTATGGTAGTGATATAATGGTTTGAAATGGATCAATTCTTTCCCATCCCATGACATCCCATGACCTAAGCCGAATGACCTAATGTTTGATTTTGTTAAACCAATGTTAAACGATATCCATATCCGCATCATTCCACAATCTATCTCCAAATGGCTCTGTCCGAAAATTCCGGATGCCACAACTGGGAAAATGTTAGCTTTCTGCGTTCCAAGTTTATACACTACACATTGCCAGTTAATTATTGGGAATTGGTGTTCCTATTTTTTCAGACACAAATAATGAGGTTGTCTGAAAGCAGGGTACTTCAAAATCCAAGGTGTTATCATCGCAATTTTATGGATAAACTCATGTAAACTCCACCCTGTTTTTAGACAGACCCAAATTGGACATAGTTGGTGATACCCTCTGGTAATTTAACATAGCTATGGAAAATCACCATTTTATATGGGAAAATCCACTATTTCTATGGCCATGTTCAATAGCTATTTTGACATAACCAGAGGGTAATATCATCCCAGTACATCCCATAGAATATCCCATACAGCTGGGGGTGCAGTTCCACCATGGTTGGTGACGGGGTAATATCCATCAGCTTCTGGAGGTTGTTGCCATCGTGTGAAAAACCCGTTGTTTTGATTCGAAGATTCAACGATTAAACATCCAAGCATCTGGCTGAAGTGGCTGACATATCGCAAAATCATATCCCATGGCTAAAGCCAAGTATATCCCATATCTATCCCATATCTATCCCATATAAATTTATATATATTCCACGTTTGGTTAAACCCATCAAACCCGCCTATGAGCCCAGGCAAAGGCCGCCATCTCAAAGACGCACCAAAGGCGTTGAGCCTCAGAATGACTTGGTAGGTAATATACTGTTAATAAATGGCTATCATATGGTTAATGATGGTTAATAATGGTTAATCATAAGCTGGTTGGTGGTTGAGCCAACCCCTCTGAAAAATCATGGACTGAGTAACAGTTGGGATGATGAAATTCCCAACTGAATGGAAAAATGAAAGTCATGTTCCAAACCACCAAGCAGATAATGTTATAGTGGAGTATTAACAGAAATGATAGATATGTGAATATGATATTTGTACTATATATGATACTATATATATACGGGGGTTTGCATAAATAGCGGTACCCCCAAATGGATTGTTTTTTGATAGAAAATCCATATTATATATATATATATATAAGTCTATATAGTCTATAAGTCTATAAACCCCCATTAACATCCATTAACATCCATTAATTCGCCGGTTATACGAGTTCCCATCTACCAGGCTACATGTCTTGTGGCACCAGAAATCGGCGTCCGGACATAGCTGGGATCCCAGAGGACCAGCATCGTCTTGGAATGATAAAGAAAGGCACCGATGCTCTCCACCCCTTCCTGGAAGCGACCAGCGATTGACCGCAAAAATCGATGGAAAAAAAATGTTGCCAGAAAAAAAGGTGGTGACCAGGCATCTCCTGTTTTTTTTCGACATTCCAGAACTGTGGTTGATGTAAAAATTGCACATTGTCCAACTTGCCATGCTCTGAGTTCCCTTCCTTCTTGAGCACTGGATCTTTTTGATGAATGCAAACCTTGTCCAAGAAGACCCTCTGTCTGGGTCTCCAAGTGAACAAGACCTGCCGCGATCAAACTTTGATGCGATCTGCCGGTTTTTTTTTTTTGTCGCTTGCTGAATGCTGAAAAATCAGACAGCAAAACCACAAAGAAGGCCACGATGCCAAAAATCGTAGTCCAGGCCTCAGCCGATTCAACGGGCACTTGTCGATTTAGCTGCGGTGAATGGATGGGCGGCTTGAGCCCGGAACTGCATAGGAGTAGGCTCCCAGAACAGACCTCAAGAGACTCAAGAGGAAAAGCTTCCCGAGACCGGGAACTGAAAGACCAAAGCTGTTCCAAATCTGTACCTGTTTGTGTCGCCCCTATACCCCGTAGTGTACCTGTAATATATACATATATATATATACATACATTACATACATATACATGTGTATTATTATATATAATATGATACACATGTGTATATATATATATACATAATATGTACATATATATAATGTTATATATATATACATATATCTATATATTTATTTATTTATTATTATTGTTATCATTATTATCATTACTATTGTTATTTATTATTATTGATTATTATTGGTTATATTTATTATTACTATAATTATTACTATTATTATTAATTACTAATATTATTATTACTATTATTATTACTATATTATTACTATTTCTTATTACTATTATTATTACTATTATTATTACTCGTATTATTACTCTTATTATCACTATTATTATTACTATTATTATTACTATCATGATTATATAACTATATATATGTGTGTGTGATTGTATGTGACTGTCAGATGATACCAAAAAATGGGATATACCATGATATACCGAGAAATACCCTCATGAAACATAGCCATTCCAACCAAAATGTTCTCCAAACTACTGGATTTGAGGCGTTCCGAAAGGGGACCTACCCGGGTGGGTGTCCCGCCAATCGCAAGTTGTAGAAACGGAACCCCGGAAGATTTACACCATAGGTATTTTTTAAGCCACCAGAAATGCAGATCATGCGGGGAAACTACCATGGGATTATTGGATCATATTATACTCTATATTATATATATATATATATATTATTACATATATTATATAATATATATATATATTATATTATATTATATATATATATCCAGAAATGTCCATATCGTTTTCTGAGACTTAGTTCATCCCACTGGAACATCATGGCCATCATGGCGCTGAGTTCCCCCGGCCGAATCTCCACAAAATATGGCAGGATCTGCGAGGCTCGCAGGGTCACTGCCATGCCGCCCACCAAAATACTCAGGCAGACCGCCGAGGCCTCAAATTGTGGCTGAAAAACGTGGGTTTTTACAGGGGGAAAACAAAAAAAAACACTTACTGGTGCGTTTTACGCAGGGAATTTTCGGGAATGAACCATAATGACTATTAATAATCATCGCAACCCCCAGTCCCATCCATTCCCTGCTAAGCACCAGTAAGAAGAACAAAAAACAACTTCCTTGAAAACGATAAAACGATCAATTGCAAGGGCAGAGCTGCATTTCTCAAGACACAGCCTGGTGATCTGTGCAAAATGCAGGCCTGGTTGTAGTACAAAAGAAGCACCATCACCTGGAACAGCACCAAGGCATGAAAGCCACGCTGAGTTGTCAACTGAGCAGTGGCTGCTAAACGAAAATGTCATTAAATGAAATACTGCCTGGTTAAGAACAGGATTCCCAGTGAAAATGGATTATGGTCATCCCCAATACTTTTGGGTGAGTTGAGTCCCACGAATCAACCAGGCACTTTTTCACACCACAACCCACGGCACACCTTCATGTTCGTATTGGCTCTCCAGCTGTGTGACCAAAACTGGTCAATGAAACGCGTCTGAAAGCTCATCATGTAGTCCTGAGGCGAAAAAACCAACAAAGTGGGTGATGGATGTGAAAAACCCGTGGCAACGTTTCAGGGATGATTGGTGCCAATACCCATCCGCATATTCTATATATATATATAATGTGTATTTTTATATATATATATATATGGATTTACATTAATACATATAAGTTTGGTGATAATCTTGACCTTTCTCTTCCCACCATGGCCTTGCAACCTATGCAACCATTGAGCAACCTATTCAGTGTCGTAATAGCTTGAAATCTTCCGATTGCTTAATAGCATTTCAAATGATGCCAGCAGAAATCATGCACGACCCTGCTCACAAAAACCTGAAGCTTTCAATGGCCATCCGAAAAACTGGAGAAGCGTGAGAAGCGATCACCAACTCTTTCTGAGTTCAACGAGCCATCTGATCAATACGCTTGGACCAAATGATCCTCGTTTCTTCCACTAGAATTGTGATGTTTGAGTATACCCCAGTTTTGGGCAGACCCATATCGTATTCTTGATATATCTCCTAAAATCAGAATGTTATTCCTAGTTTCCCTGATTTTGGTTGCTTAAATCCCCTACAAGGACCCCAATATATTGCATATATATATATATCCCATCATATTTCCACGATATCCCCTTGTTTCAAGTGCTTGGTGACTCTTAGATCATGTTAGATCCAACAGACCAAGGTGCATCGATGGAATCCTCTCGTCTCATAGGAGGCGCTTCGGCATCGTCGGGATTCCTGGAAGCTTGGGTCAAAAACGGCTTTAATGGCTGCGGGATACACTGGGGATATCATATGGGGTACAAAAAGGGATATTCAATGGGACATATATATATATGTATATATATGTATATATATATATATGTATATATATATATATGTATATATATATATGTGTATATATATATATGTATATATATATAATCAACATGATATGATAGTTGGGTGTGTTTGATGTTCTCATTTAATCCTTGGGAAACATGCATTGTTACATTCATTTATTAACAAAATCTGGTAACTGGAGCGTATGTCCAATCTATGAAAAAAAAACGGAAATTTATAAGTGTGCCTCTTTCCCACATGGCGACATGGATCAATAGCAGCTATACCATTTTTAGTGGGATGAACATCTATGAAAACCAGCGATTTTGATGTGAACTACAGGGCTCCAAGAAAAATATTGACCCTTTTTTACCACTTAGCCACATTGGAATAGCCATTTTTTGTGGTATATCTGTCCCCCATCTTTAGCACCAAACTCCAGAGGCCGACTCCGGAAAGACTCCGGGCTCCCCAGGCGCAAGTGACATGGAGCGCCCAAAGCCCACCCGCGTTGACCTGGAAGTGATGTCAAGGTTAGCTATCCTTGGGCATCACCTAGTGACCTGGTGACTGACTGACTACTGTTGGTTTTGTTGGTTTTTTTCTGGGTCAAATATGACCCAAAAATGGCACTGACTATAGATTCTTAATGATTCTTCTAATATGACCTTATATTATCTTATATTTATATGGCACAGTGACGGCCATTTGAGGCTCTTGAAATTCCCATATCAGTTGGTTCTATCTCTATATGGATTTACCATAGGTTTGTGGGGGCACCCAGTTTATCACTCATAATAATTGCCTATGTGGTAGGATAGCCCCCCGTGATCATCAACCATGAAACGTCACTTACCATCTGGTTATTTAACATAGCCATCGAAAATCCCTTATAAATGGAGGTTTTAATGGGAACATCATCTATAAATGGGCCATTTTCCATGGATATGTTAAATAACCAGATGGTAAATCTGTGTATTTTCAAATGGAGGAAAACTTCACGAAACCCATCATGGGCTTTCAACCTCCCGAAAATGAATGAAAGCCATCGATCGGATCGATTCCGTTCCAATTGGCTCCCGGGAAGCTTGGCTGGTCAAGGAGGAGCCCCATTGATTTCAATGTATCGCCGCCAAAGCCAGTTTTGTTTTGGATCAAACTGATGAAACCCTGTTTCAGCCGATTTGGCCAATATGCTGCCAGTGCTACAACTCACCAACCTGACGCCCAATGATCCAATCCTCCATCAAATATCATCTCCAGTTTTTGGTTGAAGAAATCCAATCATGTGGCTGATAGGCTGATAGTGGTTATCCCATTCTTTTTGTTGGGGCTTTCAACATGTTTCAACCATCCCTGCGGAAAAAAATGCCTGCGATCCCGCAGAACTGCGCCAAAGCTGATCCTCGGAAAACTTAAGACACGACTTTAGAAAAGTGCCCCCCGAAATTTTGAAAACTCCGAAACTCACCATTTTCCCTATTAAAACTGCCATTTGGTGGCAATACTCTACTTTTGGACAAAACCAGTTGCAATCTTGTGCCAGGAAAGCCAGATGCAGATGGAATTTGACGGGCCAGAAGCTGAAAAAATCGCTACAGACATGTATATCGCATCGCATCACGCCACACCACACTATATTGCATTTGCATTCCATACACCATTACCTACAACACTGCATCGCGTTACCTTTCCTTACCATACATTGAGTTGCGATACGTTACATAAGCATCACTGGTTGGTGGTTTCAACCCCTCTGAAAAATATGAAAGTCAGTTAGGATGATTATTCCCAATATATGGAAAAATCAAAAATGTTCGTAACCACCAAACAGATCATACTGACACTGTTCTCTGGTTGACCCGGTTGCCTCTACGGAGAAGCTTATCGTGTCCAGGGTTGATTTCCAGCCATGATACCAAAGGGGCAGCATGATGTTAAAACCATACCCCAAAATTATTTCACTATCTATTAAGATGTTAAGATATCATCTATAATGATGATCTATAATGGGTAAGGTATCTATGAAAAAATTCTTTCACTATCTGGGTAAGGTCAAACTTCAAGATCCCAAGGTGTTTTTGCAGGCTCGGATTCACCCATGCGGTGCCCTGCGGTGCTGGTGAAGTCCTCTGTTTGATGCTAAGCCAAGCCTGAATTTACTGGCGAATCATCTAATCATCATTTTCCCAAGGAGAAAACTGACCTGAAACTTGGCAATAACAAATGTTTAAATCCTTCATTTTCAGACACAGCCAATTTTTAAAAAATTGGACATAGTTGCGAAAACATCTGACCATATATATAATATAAAGTAATATAAAGTAGTATAAAGTATATTTATCATGATTTATCTATACCGTATAGTGTCCCCTTTAAAACATCCCATTGAATCCCTGTGACAAAAAGGGGCTCCGGACAGCGGTTTGTACGCTCTCGTTGCGCGCAGAAGCTGCGGTGAGTTTAAACCTCGGCCATTTGGGACATTGGGAAAGCCCCAATGAGTACAGGTAGTTGACACATCCCTTGAGGGGATTTGCTACTGGATTTAAGTGTCAAAATTGACTGATTTCCCAACCAGAAAAAAATTGTCGTGCATCCAAGAATTCTACAAAGAAGACGGTTGTGTTTACAAAGAATCCATGTGATGTGCCAGCACAGAAATCTGGATCTGCCGTTGGTAAATGGGTTTGTCTCATGGGGAATTCCCTCCCAATTTATGGCTGTAGACACTGCATGGCTGGGGACTTCGATTTTGTTAGAGAATGTCCTGAAGGTTCTCCAACAAGCAGCCCTTGAGGGGTGCGCTCAACAGGACCCCCTTTCGCTTTTAGGCTGAATTCAGGCAGGGAAATCAGGTGTCCGATAGAAACATGTTCCCAATCCATTCATGCCAACTCGTATTGCGTGTCATTGACGTGCCGCGTCCATTGGAATGGGGTTCCCAAGAAAGCGCCCCTTATCAATGGAAGCTTCTGAAAGCACCGTCGGGTACTTTTCAAGCAGGGGTCGTGCTGGGTTTCCCCCGCTCAGCGACACCATGGAAGCCAAAGTCCGCCTCTGACTGAGGGAGGTTAAGGTTGGCCTCAGAGAGGTGGCGCAACAGTGACGCCACCGCAGGGCCCATCAAATAATCCTTCTATCACTGGATTGATTTCAGGGAGAGTCTACAGGAAGGAAAGTGTTCTTACCTCCAAATATTTCAGGTGTTCCTGTGGATTGTCCTAAAAAAAACATTTCAGATATTGAATTTCTCAAACATTGCAGGAGTTCCGAACCCACAAATTCTGGTAAGTTGACTTTGGGATTCACAGTTTCTGGATTGTTATCCCTTGGGGATCAATTTATACAGCTACCTGCGGAATGACCCTATGGCTTTGTCCGACTGCCCGGCTACCCCTGAATCCACTCTTCGATCAGATTTTCCTCATTGTAAATTTAAGGGTATCCCGCATTTTCAGTCCCATATTGATGATTCATTGGTTCCTTTTTGCATGGTGAAATCATCCTTTTTTACTGGTTGAATGCCTAGTTTTCATGGATAAATCAGTTAAATCTGTGTTTTATTTGGTTGTCGGTCAAAATCCCTCATTTTCAGGTACCAAACCCCAAATTCTTGGGTTTCAAAAGATTCAAATGATCCTCAGAAATCTCCCTTTTATTCCCCATAACGTTGGTGAAATCTCCCTAGAAATTGCCAAAGAATTCGCAGCTGCTAAGCTCCTGGCACACGCTGCTGGTGCCGGGAACTGCCACCCAGAATGCTGGACCTCGGAGTTGTTGCGAAAACCACGAGAGTTACATGAGATATATATATATATTTATATATATTTATATAGATATATTAAATATTTATCCAACAGAAGTAGTAACATACCAAGCTTAGTTTTTGGGTGCTGCGAGTAGTAGTTGAGTAGTAGTAAGTTAGTAAACATAGAATCACAAGTAATCACAAGGCAAACAATGCGATTTGTTTGGGATATATCAACAGAATGTTGGTTACAAGCCAACAAACATAACTGGGGGGACCCTTGTGTCAAAGGGCGGGCTTAGGTTTGATGGCTGGTTGGTGCTGAGAAGCTCCATCTTAAAGAAATGATTCACGAACAGTCAATGGGCTTGTGGCAGTGGTTTGTCTCAAAACAAAAAAATACCTCCAATTGGTGGCATGTTAAAAATCATGAGGAAAATGATCTCATTTGAAAGTTTTTGGTTCCCTTATTTTTGAAACAACCTCATTTCAACACCCAAAAAGAAGCGGTGGATGATGACGCAACCGAAAGCCTGCAGATCGACCATTCTGGGTCAATTCACCCTCGGAAATGCTGACAGCCAAAGACCGAATGGGAGAGACATGTGCAAAAGCAGCCCAGAATCCAGCCAAAAACAATCGGTCTTTCATGGGGTCATGTTACTGGGTGGGAAAAAACAAGCCAGTAACATGAGCCCAATCCCAACTCAGTATCTCTGGTGCCTCACGAAGGACACAAACTTTTTAACCGATGCTGCACAGGAAGTCTGGAGGCGTTGGTTCTTCTGCCTCACCGTCTGGTTCGGCTTCTCTTTTCCTGCCATCTCAACCGAGGAAGCACTACAAACAACCATCTCCAGGTTGTGTGTTTGAGATCCGGACACAAAATGGGACATTTACTAATCCCGAGGAGGTTCAGTTCACATGTTTGGGAACCCGCCCTGCCGAAAATCGATACAAAAGATTTTTCATTTATTTGCTTGGGTTGCGTCACCACAATCTGCTTGAAAGATAACTGAAAATCCAAATTTGAACAACAGTTTCCCCAGTGGAAAAGCTGGTTTTGCCAAATTTGCTCAAAATGAAAGATGATGAAAATACTCCCAACAAGACCATGTCAGCTGCATGCCCCACCTGTAGTAGTCATACAATGCCATGCCATATCTCCTGAGTTCCTCCGCCTTCTCGTAATCAGGGCCATCCATGGGTGCTTCCCCAAGGCAGTACATCTCCGATAGAAACAAACAAGCCTCGGCAGAGCTTGGGTCCCAAAACACTGACAAAAAAACGAACTTAAAAAATTACAGAAATCACAGCAAAAGTCAAAGGGAGTCGGACATGTCCATTCAAATTCAAAATCATAGACATATTCACATAAATCATCATCATCATCATCATCATCATCATCATCATCATCCTCGTCGTCGTCATCTTCATGGACAACCAGAACGACAGGCCCAAATTGTGTCTGTCAAGGGCTGCAAAGCACTGGGCACTTCGCCAAGGCGCCAGCGGATGACCCTTCCGAGCGGCGCGGCGCATCCAGACCAGGGCGCCCTGGTCCTCCTGTTCTCGGAGATGCTGTGCAAAGTTCAGGATGGCATCAACATCATCCAGCCTCGTTGGAACATCGAACTGTTTTTTGTCAACATCGCTCAAACATGGGGGTGCAGTTCCAGTTGAAAGTGGATATGTATGTATAAATATATATATATATATACTGTATATACTGTATATACTGTATATACTGTATATACTGTATATACTGTATAAGATCACTGCCAACGCCATAACCCCCATATTGAGGATTGGCGGGCTGACTGCATATAAATACACCAATTATCGGGGCCCGTATCCCAACTGAGATTCCTTGGCGTGTTTATATGTGTTTGCATCATCGTTTTTTTGAACATGGCCTTCTATGGCCACTGTGGGTATAGCAGGTATTCACTTTAACAACAGCTGGGCAGTGCGGTTTGGAGATGTTTTTCTTCAAATCAGTCTAAAAGAACAAACATTTTGCGATAAAATACGGTACAATACATACATTACATTACATTACATTACATTACATTGCATTGCATTGCATTGCATTACATTACATTACATTACACTACATTACATTACATTACATACATACATATATGTATACCTCATAATATGGATCAAGTAATTCCAAGTTATCTAAGTCATCTAGAACCTCAAGACAATGAATGTTTTCATGAATTGCAAATCACGTTTCGTCCAAGCAGCTTGTTTGCTGCTGCAAAGAGCCGGCTGTACTCTGCCTGAGTCATCCACCATCATACTTGGGGGTGCGGCCAAGGGGTTCTTAATGGATATATATATATATATACATACATGTATACATGCGTACATGTAATGTAATGTAATGTAATGTAAATGTAAATGTTAAATGTAAATGTAATTGTAATGTAAATGTAATGTAATGTAATGTAATGTCATGTCATGTCATGTCATGCAATGCATGCATGCATGCATGTATGTATGTATAACTTCTATAACCATGGAAATTACCCGCAGAAACTAGGATAAATCATGATATATGCCCTGAAACTATGATATTATACCCAGTATATCCAATTATAAGTGGAACTGCGCCCACAAGGCGTCTGTCTCTACCTCGCCCTTGTCCTAAAACGCAAACCTTTCGGCACAATTTTCCAGGCCTCGTTCGGATCCTCTGCATCATCGCCACGGGAAGCCGCGTTCAGCGGCGGGCTGCAAGCATCGAAATCGGACAAGCGAAACTTACCCACCAAGTCGTCCCGGAGAGAATGCTCTCCAGGTGTAATGCCTGCGGCTAGACCACAGAAATTTGCAACTGTCAACCGTGGATCATGTCGACTCTGACCAACAAAATCTCCAATATCCTAGTCGCTTCGCGACGGGTACCGCCCGCACCCCGGGGCAGGGCAGAGGAAAGAAGGCTAGCTGGGGGCCAACATGGCGCGAAACTGGGGCACATTTGGACGCAAGTTGGGCTTAAAATGCGCAACTTTGTCCGGTGTGGTGGCATTTGGCACGGAAGTTGGGCCAAAGACAGGCCCAATGTGGGAACATGGCCTCGGACGAACCCCTGAATATATATATATATATATGTATATTTATATGTATATATATATATATATATCTATCTTGTGAATGTAGCATTTTGGGAACATGACCATCTTGCCATGCCACTTTTTGCGGAGACCTTGCAGTGGCCTTTCATTCATCGCGGCCGATCGCTCATCCTTTTCCAATCAAACCCAAAGAGGTGGGCGGGCAGTGGACAAGAGACCAGAGGCTACGGAGGATAACAAGGATCACTTGGTGACCCGCAACTTGGTTGGTTAGGCGATCAGGGATCCCTTGGTTACTTTATTGGGGAATATTCGCATTGGTAGCGGAGCACTGGGCTGCCGCGGAAAGGAGTTAGGTCACTCCCCATTTTTGGTTTGTGTTGGACTATCTTTTGCTTTGTTTCCTAGTGGGACAGGGTTCCAGGACTAGGATCACAGGCCTCCATTTTTGACAAAAATCAATTCAACACAGTTTTGTTTGCACGCCATCTCCAGCGCTGTGGTCAACTGACCTGAGAGCCATGGCATCTGGAGAGGAGTCCGCGCAAGCAGCGGGATCCGGGACCTACAACTCGGCCATTCCCTGGAACCAGATTCCGAAGTTCATTCCAGGTGAGACCGATTTGAGAACGTATACAAGGAAACTGGAGTTTTTGCAGTCACTGTGGCCAAAAGACCAACTGGAACATCTTGGGCCTCGAGCAGCATTGGCCGTAGAAGGGGTGGCTTTTCAGAAAATTTCTCGATTGGACCCTGCCAAACTGCGAGAGCCTGATGGAGTCTCCTATTTGGTGAAAGCTCTTGGGGGCCAATGGGGCAAGCTCGATGCAGAGGACAAGTACGATCTCTTCGAGCGTGCATTGTACCAGGTGGCCCAGAAGCAGGATGAGAGCCACGATTCATATCTGGCAAGGCATGATGCAGCTTTTGAAGACTTGCTGAATCGCAAAGTCTCCCTTGAAGAAGTCAGAGCCTATGTCCTGATGAGACAGTCGCTTCTCAGCTCAGAAGAACGCAAGAGGGTGATCATGGATAGCCAAGGTGAACTCACATACGACAACGCCAGGAAGCAGATCCGACTTCTGGGATCACGCTTCTTCCAGGATCTCCAAGTCGGCTCTGGGGGTCGAGGAACGAAGCTCAAGACCTATGACGTGAACTATGTCGACGAGGAGATCGCCTACTTCCATGATGATGCCCCGGAAGAGGTAGATGATGAACTTCTGATAGCCACTTTGGCTGAGGAGGGGGACGAAGATGCAAGCTTCGTGCAAGAGTTCGAGGAACAGATCATGGTAGCCTGCCAGGAATCAAGTGAACTTGCAGGATGCTTCATGGCCTATCAAGAAGCTCGCTCAAGGCTGAAAGAAAAGGCACGATCCCGTGGGTTTTGGCCTTTGAGTGGACAGAAAGGACGTGAAAAAGGAAGATGGAACCGGGGAAAAGGAAAAGGGCATGGTTTCCAAAAGGGGTCAATGGGCAACTTTGGAAATGCCTTGATGGGTCGAAGAAAGACCCTTGCGGATCGGATTGCAAATAGCACATGCAGACGATGTGGAAAGCCTGGCCATTGGAAGCGAGAATGTCCTTTGGGCCAAGGCACATCATCAGCTGGCGACGCCAAGAGGATCACGGATGGTGAAGCCTTCACGGGCATCATGACTGAGGAGTACACGGTCCTGAACACCAGCATGAACCAGATTCAGGACAAGGATGATGAGGTGATCATGCAGCTGCCAGCAAACGCGCAGTGCTATGTTTCCGGCCGCCTTGAGGTCGGGCAGGTGTCCAAAATTCATGATACATGCGGGTCTGGTCCAATCAAGAAAACTTCTATGCCCAGTGAGAAGGGGTTTTGTGGGGAATCTGAGTGTGTGTTTTTGGGAGTGAGTGAGAGGGAGAGATTCAGTCTGAAACAAACATTGGTCCATCACCTCCGCAAATGTTGTAGGAGTACTGAATCCAAGTCCGCTGAAGCAACGTTCTCTCACGAGCCAGTCTGTCCTGAGACCACTTTTCTGCAGAGCCACGTGCCATCTGCGGGTGGTCATGAGATTTTTAATGCTGAGGAAGCGGCCGACGAGGCCATCATTGACACGGGCGCCAGTAGGGCTGTCATTGGAAGTGATAGGCTTGAGATGCTGGTTCAAACTTTTCCTAGGGAGATCAGGCAGAAGGTCATGAAGGTGCCTACTGATGGAATTGTTTTCAAATTTGGAAATGCTGGCCGCCTGTCAAGTGAATATGCAGTGTTGCTTCCTCGAGCTCAAAATGACTGGCTACGTGTTGAAGTGGTGCCGGGCCAAACTCCTTTTCTTATCTCAAATGCAGTGTTGGGGAAGCTACGGGGGGTTGTTGATGTTGAGGGTCGACAGCTTGGTTTCAGGGGTAGTGATAAGTGGATACCACTGTTCGGGGTAAGGAAGAACTTGTTGGGGGTTAAGGTGATGGATCTGTTGATGAAAACTCCCAGCATGAGCGCGCGTGCACAAACACACATTTTGTACACACATGATTCCAGTGAAAAGGGTGAGGTTTCCGATGTTCAAGCCCAAATTTTCTTGCATGAGAAAAATCAGAACAGTTCTGATGGAATTCAAGAACGTGAAAGTTGTTTTCTTAAAGAAAACATGGTCACATATCTCCAGCAGGATCTTGTGAAATCAAATGCAGCAACCGTGCTCAGTGAGGAAGTCACCACAGGTGAAATTTGTCCCGAAGGATCCAATCGACAACATTGTGGCCATGGAAGCTGCGGTGCCGTACCTGTCCAAAATGTTGACGTCGCCAGTGGACGAATCGTTGAAGGAACATCGAGTCTTTCACGATGCTCCCACATCTCTCTCACGACCGCCGGGGGTGGCCAACTTGGCAGAGTGGGGGGCACTGACGATTCCCTCAGGCAAGCACCAGTCAAAGACCTATGCCACAGTGTACGAGAAAGAGAGGTCCTATGTGAACCAAGTGTGGAACCGGAAGGCAGTGGCACCGTGGTTGAGAAGCTTTCAACTGTACTGCCGTCACCGCCGAGAAGCCAGCGTGGAGAATCAGAGGGAGGAGACCAAGAAACAGGGTCTTCAGATGCCAATCTCGCCACACATGACACCCGAGACGGCAGCTCTGATTCGTGCAGGAGGAGCCCCATGGCTGACTCCTCGGACAAACGATCGTCTGATCAAGGAGAAGGCCAAGATGGATGCAGCGAAAAGTGCCAGCTCAGAAGGGGAAAAGGAATGGACACATGTGTCCGAGATCGAGAAGGGCTCCAAGCGAAGCCTGCCAATCCAGAACAACAACATGGAGACTCAGCCCAATGCCGACAAGATTGCCCAGCTGCAGGCGCAGATTGCTTCACTGCAGAGAGATTTGAACATCGAGCTCAATGGGAAAGTGTGGCAGTCGGAGGAGGCATGAAAATCCTGACTCCCAATGAGGTTGCTTTTATCCAATCAGAACTTCAAGACAAATCACAGAAGATTCAGGACGGGTTGTCCAAATTAACTTGTGATCCCAAATACCAATTCCGAAGAAAGAGTTCTGAAATTAAACAAGGGAGAGTAACCAAAATGGGAAAATGGGTAGGTAAGAGGGTTGACTTGTTAGAAATATATTGTGACAAAGATTCTCAACTGACCAAAGTATGTAATATGAAAGGTGGTAGGGCTATACGATTCACCAAAGAAGATGGAGATCTAGCTACCGTAGAGGGACAAAACAAATTGTGGACATGGATAGAACTATATGAGCCACGTCATATCTGGGTAGCTCCTGAATGTCGTCTTTGGGGAAATTGGGCCCGGTTCAACATGGGAAGAAGCATGACACTGCATGACCAACTTCAAAGTGAAAGACAATCTGACACACCTCATTTAGAGCTCTGTAATCGGATTTATCTACATCAGATCAGCAATGGGAGACACTATCATCTGGAGCAACCTCGTGGGTCGGAGATGATTTGCCAACCACCGCTGCAAGACGTCCGGCTGGGAACTCTTCCAGCAACATTCGACATGTGCCAGGTTGGGCTGTTGCAGTTACCATCCTCCAAGGACTTTCTGCAGAAGAGGACTCAAGTTTTCACCACCAGTCGCAAACTTTTTGAACAAGTGCATGAACAGTTTTGTCATGGGATCCACAAACATGACCCCATAAAAGGGAAATTTAAACATAAGGGGATGTGGAAATCCGTATCAGCATATGCACAGGCATACACTGCACAGTTTGCACGACGCGTGGTTAGGGAGATTCTGTGGGAATGTCAACACCCTGAACGACCCCTGTTGGAAGAAGAAATGATTTTGGGGTTAGAAGAAAAGGAAGTTCACGAAAGGCCCGAACTGGCACAAGAATGTCTTCAGTTGCAAAAGCGGCGTCGGGTGGCATTGAAGCAACCTGAATCATCCATGTATGGGAAAGCACCAACATGGAAAGATGTTTTTCGCACTGCAGGGTATGAGACTAAGAGAGTAGGTGGTCAGCGTTTTGAGGGGGATCATGTGCTTATCAAACTTACTCAACAGCTTGTACCAAGCATGGATGTCAAACTGGTCATTGCCTGTCGCGGCACCGATCGGCATCGTACCGATGGCACAGATGGACATGGAGACAGGTTTCCTCTTCGTAAAACGGTTATCATTGGTAGGGAGAGTGGGGAAGTTGTGGATTTGGGTCCTCCTGAACCGTGGACAAAACAGCCCCGTTTGAGACAAATCAGAGGAACTGGTCCTGCCAAAATGTCACTGTCCATTTTTGGCCATCCTGTCTCTGGAAGTGGATCTGAAGTGATTCCTTCCAATTTGCCTGACTCTGCGGTAGGTGAGCTTGTTCCAGATTGCCCGGATGGCAATGATTCATATAAATCCCCAGAAATCCAGGATCTGGAAATGGATCTAGGGGATGAATCTGGTGTCAAAGACCCTAAAAGGGAACCCAAACAACCTTTTGGGGAAGATAGCAACCCACAAATTGAGGGTTGGATTCCACGGCTTATCCCCAAGTCCGGTCCAAAGTTTTTGGGATTAGAAAAAGGGGAGCAAGAAGAGTTGCGTAGGCTTCACACCAACCTTGGGCACCCTGATCCCCAGAAGTTCAGCCGGTTTTTGATGGAAAGAGGGGCAAAGCCGGAAGTAGTTGAGGGTTCCAGAGACATGTGT